AATAATATGGAAAAAGATAGGTGCTCCAAACTAGAACACTACTATACCCTCGTAAAAGAAAAAAAAAATGGTTGACTACTTACTAAATGTTTATCTTATTTCTCGACCTCGATATATTTCTATCTAGGATCATGTTCTTGTTGAGCCAAATATGTGTCATGTCCTATCTTTAATCACCTCTTATTCTCCTTAAACCTATCCCACAGACTCACAACTCCTCATTAAAACATTTGTACTCCTCATTTTCACATATTTGAATCATATCAATCTCGCTTTTCACGTCTTGTCCACCAGGCTTATCCTACACCTAGATAACTTATTTGTGCTTCACGCGGCCTGATATATTCTATCATAATTTTAATTGACATACAAAGGATATAAAAACATAAAATAGAGTTATCAACCATTGTTTGTCATTTTTTTAATTATCATATTTAATTTGCTATCAAGAATTAAATGTTTTTGTAAGTCAATGAACTTAAAACTTGAAATGATGAAAATAACATGTATTTTCAAATTTTAGTTGAAAAGGATTGAAGCATGAAATTAGGCTAAAAATATATATATAAAATATTGTCACCAATTAAAATATCAAACTATTTTTTTCTTAATCAATGGTAGGGGCCAATATAATAAACCTTTCAAAGAAACTAAAGTGGCCCCTCAAAGTTTCCTTTAATGCAAACCAGCCCCATACATACTTTTTCTTGGCCCACTATATTTTCTTGTTAAGTTTTTGGTAATGGAAAATTCTCTAGGAAAATTCCATAAATTTATATGATATAATTTGAATTTTGATAATTAAAATAAATAAATTAATCGTGATTTTTTTCGTTTTCCCTTGAAATATTTGTGACTTAGTTTTTAAATATGTATATTAGTATTTTAGAAAACTTAAAGATCGTATTTTTTTATGCACGATCAAAATAAAGAAGTTTGACTCTCGAAATTTGAGCTATATCATATAAATTGAGACAAAGAGAGTCTATTTTCTAAAGGAATAAATAATGAAAAAAGGGTAAAGGGTCAAATATGCCCCTAAACTATTCGAAAAGGTCTAGATATACCCTCCGTTTAAAGTTTGGCTCACTCATGCCCTCGCCGTCCAACTTTTCGTCTAGATATGCCCTTATGGGCGTTAGTTGGCCTGCTGGACATATCCAGCTCATTTTTCATTTCTTTAAATGCCACATGGAATAGCCATGTCATTTTGACTTTACCACATGACATTTATATGAAAATTGAAAGAGATCAATTATGCCTCTAAAAAATTCGAACCCATAAACACCTAATCCGACCCATAAATCAACCCCCCTTTTAAATAAATTTCCCGACCCGTTTTCAACAATTTTGTTTAAATTTTATTTTTTCGGTAAATCCCGAAAATGAGTAATTGATTAATAAAAATAGGAAAATATGAAAAAATATAAAATTAACGCCAAAAATTCACAAATAAATATTGTAACCTTAAATTCAACAATTTCAATAATTTTTTAAAATTCTTTTTTTGATAAATTTCGAAAATGAGTAATTGATTAATAAAAAATAAAAAGAAGAAGATATTTGACCCTTTACCCATGAAAAAAAGAAGAAGATAATTCTATCTTTCTAGGAAACTTCCTAGTGACTTGTCAAAAAAGTTTGAATTGAAAAATCTCATGGTATTATGCAATATTATTTTTTTGTGTGGGGTTACGGACTAGATGGTGACATATTCATGGAAAAATAATAATGATAAAATATTATACAAATTATTAGTAGAATTTGTTAAGAAATTTATTTTTGTCAATTTCACTCAAAAATACATAAACTTCACTCATATTATATAATTTTAACATTTTTATATGAAGTTTGTTGTTTCCAATGAACTTCAAACACAACATATCTAGAGTGGATCTACCTATAAAAAATAATAATTTTAAAATAGATATAAATTAAATAATAATATCGAAACATATTATCTAGTGAAATTTCAACATATAAGTAAGATTTTAAAAATAGATTATTTAATGAATTAACAAACTAATTTACACCATCAACACATTGAAATAAAAATTGTACATGAAAAAATTGATCAAACTGACTATGATTTACGAATTGAGATATTTGATTGGAAAATCACAGTGACCAATTGAAAAAGACAACCTTATCTCTATATTTTCTTTTAATTGAAAAATATATTTGAAAAAAATCCTATTTTATTTTTTAAATGACCAAAAGCGTTATAAATCATCTTGTCACCATCCTGGCATTTTCTCAAGTAAATCAAACAAACAAATAATTAATAAACTATAGTCTAAGTCAATGAGTCAAATTAATATGGTACATTTTAATGGAAATTTTAAGCTCATATTCATTTGTGAACAATTTAAAGTCAAACTCAATTTGTGTTGTGGCATACATTGGTCTTCTTCAAACATAAATTAATGTTGGAGAAAAAAAATAATTAATATATATAAGACCTTTTATATATTTCTTAGTTTATATTGTTTGTAATTTAATATTCATGATTGCACAAGGCAATTGAGTTAATTGTTCAAATGTTTTACATAAAAGCAAATAATTTTGATTGGTAATTTCATAAATTTTCCGGCACCCAAACTCTTGATTTGACATTATATTTTAAAATAAATAAAATTAGGGTACGTAGAAAAAAGAAAAATAAAATGAAAAAGTAAAATTCTCATCGACAAGATAAAAATTCAGATAGTCAACCAATAAATCAAACTATTAAGATTTCTCGATTTCACATCATATAAGTCCATAATACAAATAAACTCAATTTTAATATATTGATGTAATTGTAACTTTTCTTTTCTTTATTTGGCTTTTAATAGTTAAGTGTGCAAAATTAATAAATTGTTTTCTAAAACTTCTTTATATCCAATTAGAATCTCTTTTACCTTTTCTTTTTTGCCTCGGGATCGGTGAAACTCTATTATAATGATTTTTTCATACAACAATTATTACATGAATCTTTCTAAAACGATTCAATGAGAACATAAAACACAAAAATCTTCATCACCATGTTTTGTTTCTATTTAAATTAAATATAATCATTGTGTCTCAAATTTAAAGATTTCATGCCCTGAATTTACGACTAAAATTATATTACTCGATTCTCAAAATTCGAGCAGTATCATATAAATGACGAAGTAAATAATATAAATACTTTATTTTCTTCTTTCTTTTATGTATTACATATTTTTTATGTTTTTTACAGTTTTACATACATCGAATGCCCCATTACGTAACTCTCCTTCTTTCGTCCGTCCACAAAGCTATGGGAGAGAAAGGGCCAGCATTTTTTTTTTTATATTAGTGGTATATCTTTATCTATTATTATATATCACTTTCAAAAGGAAAAAAAAGGAAAGGATTTATAAAAGAGGAAAAAATTGGGTTTTGATTAAAAAAAAAGGAAAAAATGTAATTGCTCAAGGTATCCTTTAGTTTCAAGAAAAGCATAAAGTGTTAAAAGAAATGTCCCAGGAAAAATATAAACCTCACTTTTAAATTTTTATTCCCCCAAGCTTTAAAGCATAAAAAGTCGAGTTGAGTCGAAATTTAAATTTTACGAGTTCAACTTTATCGTGCAATTTATTTGAAAAGTAATGTAATGTAAGTTCAAATAAAGCATATATATATATATATATATATATATATATATATATATATATATATATATATATATATATATATATATATATATATATATATATATATATATATATATATATATATATATATATATATATATATATATATATATATATATATATATATATATATATATATATATATATATATATATATATATATATATATATATATATATATATATATATATATATATATATATATATATATATATATATATATATATATATATATATATATATATATATATATATATATATATATATATATATATATATATATATATATATATATATATATATATATATATATATATATATATATATATATATATATATATATATATATATATATATATATATATATATATATATATATATATATATATATATATATATATATATATATATATATATATATATATATATATATATATATATATATATATATATATATATATATATATATATATATATATATATATATATATATATATATATATATATATATATATATATATATATATATATATATATATATATATATATATATATATATATATATATATATAAATATTTTTTTTTATATCATTAAATAGTTGTAATTGTACCTTTAAAAGTTTAAGCGTGCAAAATTTAAATAATTGGCCTCTAAAACATCTTTATATCCAATTAGATTCTCCTTTGCTTTTTCTTTAAACTTTTATTTGCTTAGGGATCGGTGAGACTTTATATTAAGTTCTAATGGAACAATGATTACATGATTCAATGAGAACACAAAACACAAATTTTCAATTTCTCATAATACGTCCCAAAATACTTTGTCGTTATCTTTAAGAATCAAATTTAATTAATCTTCAAAGTTAAATTAGATTACATAAATTCAATATTAGTTAAAGTTCACATAATTTAGCTCTCGAGAAGTAAAGTACAGATAGAAAAATCTCAACCTCACCACCAAAGGAAAGTCAGACAACTACTTGAATGTTGGTTTAAAAGAATGCATGCAACATGTTGATGAAAAATCACTTCATTTCTGGGACAGACAACTTGATGCATAAAACATTTCACGTTCATGTAGTATCCAGAGAAGGCTCGCTTCCCAATATTATCATCCTCGCACGGTACTTGACCCGGTATCCTTCAATCTTCTATACCCAATAGGTGGGTGCTTACCCCTATCATGGGGATCAGGGGAAGGTAGTTTCACCAGGTGGAATCAAGAGAAGGTAGAGTGTTTGAAATCTTGTCCCTATCACGGGATAGAAAAAATGTTTCAAAAAGACTTTCGATTCAGGTAACACGCAAAGAAATATAACAAGTACTAGAGAAAGCATCGCATCGCATCGCAAATATGAAAATTTCAATAAGTGAACTTTGCATTACTGCATCAGTAATGTCAATTTGATATCAACTGGATAAAAATGTGGCAGGACAAAATGCAGAAAAATCTATTCGAAATACTCGAATAACGTTACATGGTTTCTTCAGGCATCTTCGTAAAATAACACCTGGACAAAAATACCCCTACTTAAAACACGAAACAACTCGAATCGAACATCTACCATGCTGGATTTCAAAACTATAACAAGTGGAACTCTAGCACAATGTGGCGTATGCTATTGTAATTGTCCCAACTTCGACCATATAGACTAGCTATCAAGATGCCAAGCTCTAGAAAACAGGCGTACAACTTCGCATGTGTTTTCTTGGTTTCCCACCTAGTGTTCAGTACTTGCATTGGAGCTTGACTTGATCAAGATTCGCCTAGAAAAATGGCGATAAGGCGCTCCTTCACCAAAAAAAATCATCAACTTGCGCGTTGAATGCTCGTTGGTCACACTAGCGAAAAAATTCAATATGACCAGCAATATCCCTGCACAACATCTTTGACTCACCTGCCAACTTCAAGCTTCTTGAAATGACAAGTCCTGTTTTTTTGTGTGTTGATGTTGGTTTATAGGCTGTGGCATCCTCTTCATTTCCCATTATAAGAGCTTCTCTAGCAGGAACCACATTTTCCCACCAAAATTCCCATAAAATTCCATGCATTAACTCCCAGTAACTCCGGTCTCGGTAGACACGGAATATTGCACTCCCGTTTGGTGTCCAACAATACACATCAACCCAATCTCTGTCCATGATTTCCATTTGCCCTTGCACCTGAGGCATGTAGTAGAATGGCATAGTTGACCACGGGAGACCCTTTTCTGGTTTTCCTTTGTTGTATGGACATTTCACTTCCAGGATCCCACCTCCAGGCAAGCTTCCAAGAAGACCATCCGGGGAGGCACCAACCCAATCCAATCGCTCATCCAAATGGACTGCGAACCCGAGTGAGCTCACATCACGACCAGTGATGCTTTTATAGCGTTCTATGGCTACTGCTTCCATGAGAACACCCCAATCCATGGCACTCCTGCTCGCAGATGGTAGTAATTGGACTTCTGGAGCAAATACCTTCTCATTCCAGAGCTCATATCGCCGATTCCCTTTCCAGAATCCTAAAGCAGTGCTGAAGGTGCTTGTAGTCAATTTGTCTTTGCGAAGGGCAAACCACTCCTCAGAACGTTGTGGAGCATCTGATTGGGTTAGGCAGGCCACTGAAACTACTGATGGTGGAGGATAACTGAGAGGAATGCTTGGAGAGATACATGGTGCTGTCAAAGTTGAGAAGTTCCTCAAGAAAACAATGCCATGATAGCTTCTGCCAGGAAATGGGACAGCTGCTATCTGAATGTTGCTGAATCTCGAAACGCATGCATTGCTCATAGCTAACGGCTAACAGTTCGTGTAGTTTCAATTCTGCAAATCAATAAATACAACCATGAAACACAAGTAGGACAACAGTTTGCTTGGCAGAGCAAGTTTAGAATGTATCCAATGATAGCGAAAATGGTAAAGTCAAGAGACAGAATTTCCTGAGAGGGCGGAGACAAGTTCATAGAATATTTTTGTGTAAACAAGACAGTAAACTTTAGACAATTTTTTAGGGAACTAATGAATAGTTTGATTACTACATGAGAGGGTACATATGTTATCTATTTTAGGAGGGGAATGATTTGCAAATCTAGACACATTTTGCTTACTGAGTCAACGTTGAGAAATATGAACAACTTAATATCTCTAAGAGAACCCTTTCCAGTGCATCTTAAGTTATCATATGGAATTCACAATAGCTGTAAAGTGTAATATATTGTACAATGATTTCAAGGCCTTGGAAATTTGACATTGCAGTTTCGCTGGTATTCACTGGATAAAGCTAGGTTGTACTGCAATTTTGTGTTTCTTGAAGACTTTAATTTCACTGGATTAAACATTAATTTCCTCATTCCACTCTATTGTTTGGTTTGTTATATTTGGACAGAAGTAGTGAAAGCGGAAAAGAGTTTCAAGTTTTTTAAGCATTTACTGCATTAACCCCCCCCTCCCTTTTTTATGACAAGGGAAATCTGCAGCCGCTACCCTTACAGTGCGCACAGGGCAAAACCCCTGCACCTATGCAATAGCTCGCAAACCACACAGGAGAGGTAACCCACACTAGGCAAACCCTTTGCTTTCGCTGGCAAAGGTTTTCGAACTTGAGACCTCCAACATGGAAGTCCCAAGCCCAAACCACTGGGCCACTCTGAAGTGTGCATTAACCCCTTTTCCTCTTCCTTTTTTCTTTCAATTAGGCCTTTCCAGTCTGAAATGAGTTAGTGTGTGCTTTTCATGATTTCATAAATTTGGGAAAGGTTATAAGGAATAAAAGAAATGTTAAGTTTTATCTGGAATTATGTCTTTCAATGTCTCATGGACACCCGACGCTAACATGACACATAAATTTTGGAGGTGTCTAGATGATTATTTGGTAAGTTGAGTGCTTAACTGACACAGTGGAGACAAATTGAGGTGTCTAGATGTGCATACTCAAAGTTGAACTATTCACTTGCCATCTAAGGCCAAGTTTGAGTGTTTGTTTATGTATTGTGCCTAGTTTTTATCATTTCGTGGGGATGAAAACCACAAATGTCTTCAACTTCATATAACCCACTTGAATGTAACAACTAATTTTCTACCTAATCCTAGAATTAGTGTTAAATAAAGTTACCTTGTTATTTAAAAATTTAAAGTTTTACAAATTCCTAAATATCACTCAAGGTTCTTCTGAAAGGACGACTCTACTCGAAAAGTCATGGGTGATATGCTAATCAGAATGTTCATTATTACTCAACTCCTAATCACCTCACTTGTCTTCTATTGGTTACTTGGCAAAAGAACTAAAGTTTGACATGTAACAAAATAAGAATAGTAACATTTAATCTTTCAGTGTATCCCAATCTAAAGGTAAAGAAGGAGAAAATATAGACATAACAGATACATTCAACGGAATACGAGCATACTCCTAGTAACTTCCCAAGCAACAAAGCAGTGCAACAAATTAAGATAAACTACAGAGTCATTCTCAAAAACCTATTATTATAGTACACTTTTTAAAAACATCCAATGCAACTCTCAATAGCTAGAAGGCTAGAATGAATCAATGATAAATGTCACGTCATTTAATTTCAGTTTCTTAATATGCTTTAGAGGGTTCGATTTCTACTAAAAACAGAAAAAACATTGCGAAATCATAACGATAATAGCGCATATGTCTGATCGCCAATATTGACTCATACAAGTGAACAAGGTACCTTATAGATGAGAATTGTGTAAAACAACTCTGGAGAGGGGAAAAGAAAACAATAAACAATTATTCTGATGTCTCGGGCGTATAGTCAAACACCTTGGGAGAATCAGTGTGCACAACATTTTGTAACAAATCAGAACATGCATGTAGTTGGTACCTATTTCTTATGGGAGTCTGAAATGTTCCAAATGACTGCTTGGATCATTAGAGTGTACAGATCATAGAGGCCTACCATTCCATGCATAAACCTTTGGTTTTGAGGGAGTGTTGGATAAATGAATTTTCAGACTATATTGAACTGAAACGAATTGAATGGAAAACCAGCAATTGAGAATTTCAAGAACCTCTCTTATTTTTTGCCTTATCTGTGTGACTTGAAAGTAGAAATTTAGAATGCTTATCAGAGAAAAATAGAAAACATCACCACTACCTGTATCCTCTTCTAGTTCCCCAGCATCAAGAAAGGCTTTCAAATGGTAATGGATTCTATTTCCTTCTGTAAGCAATAGATTGAATTACAAAGCTGTACTGGTAACAATTTGTCTATGAGTGTCAAATTCTCCAGAATTGGAAGGGCTATTGCGCTCAATATATTTCAGCTCGAGTCCTGCGTGAAGAAAATCCAAGATTACTACTTAAACAATAGGTGTATTACTCTATTTTTGTAAATACTCATGCATGAAACATTATCAGAGAGGACTTTCTGGTGCACTACGTTCCCGCTATGCGTGAGGTCCAGAGAAGGGCCGGACCACAAAGGTCTATTGTACACGTCCTTACCCTGCATTTCTATAAGAAGTTGCTTCCACAACTCAAATCAGAGAGCAATCACAAAATTGAAATGAGCTTTTTGTGATAAATCTTTCACTAGTTTTCTGTTCTTTTGTTTAATGTCTTTGTTGGTTTGAGAAATGGATGGAAAAGTGGAGATTTTGCTTTATTCTACACAGGAATTCTAAAAAGTTTATATCTTTCCGAAATACTATAAGCTAATTTCACGTCCCATCCATTTCCTGAATATTCTCTCTATGCACTTCACCCAGTGAGATCAAGTTAAGCACTGAAAAACAACTTATCCAACTATCACTCAATGCCATTAGAACTGAAGACAAGTTGTTCCATCTCCGGTTTCTCTTTCTTCTATCTAAACCTATGATACACCGTGCTTTAGAAGCAAGGGAAGAGCTAGAGTGTAGTAGCTTTGGTCCGAATTCCGTATTCGTCTTAGGAACTCCTTATGTACAATTTATTAATTCAGAACCTAGTAACTTAAAAAGAAACAAAAATCCCAAACTCATGAGCTTCAAATACTAGCTCTGCTATAGAAGGCATTTCAACAACAACAACAACATACCTACTATAATCCCACAAAGTGAGGTCTAAGGAGTGAGGTCTGGGGAGGGTAGAGTGTCCACGGAGCTGAATATGCATTCATATGGTCTCAAAGATTCAAACACACAGAAAAATAAAAACACAAATTCAACTCCCAAACACCATTTTCCAACTTCAAACTTCGATTACTACTCACAAAATTTGAACTTTTTTTCAAGTGAAAACACAATGCCAAATTCCAAACACCATTTTTCAACTTCAAACTTCACATACTATTCACAAAATTTGAACTTTTCTTCAAGTGAAAACACAAATTCAACTTCCAAACACCATTTTTCAACTTCAATCTTCAAATACAACTCACAAAAATTGAACTTTTTTTCAAACGAATTCAACTTCCAAACACCACTTTTCAACTTCAAATATTACTCACAAAATTTGAACATTTTTTCAACTTTAAAACTTCAAATACTGCTTTTTTTCCCCTTCTCAAATAGCACTACATTCATGTCCAAAAGCTTACTAAAAATACATAGAAAAATCAAACACAAACAAACATAAGTAGAGAAACTCATGATAAATTTTAGAAAAAATAAAAATAAATACAGCAGAGAGGGAAAAAAATACGAAAAATCCCCAAAAACAAGAATGCTTACCTGTGAATAAATGGAAGAGCTTGAGCATAAGCGAACCAAGGGTTTTGGGGAAACAAAGAAGAAGGTGCAAAAATGTAAATTATCCCAATAAATCTCCACCCCTCACTTTTTAATTTATCTCTAAACTTTTAAATTTTTCCGACCTCTTTCTTAAAAAGCGTTTTACTATCGATATTTTTTTGGATAAACTTAAATTTAATTAGATTTTAATGTAGATATAGACGAAAAATGGAAAAAAAAGAACTTTTAAACTTTTGGATTTATGAGGTAAATTGTTTTTTATTTTTTAAAAAAAATGGAAAATATATAACTAGGCAAGCCACAAGTCCTATATATACTTATTAAAATCTATTTTAAAATAATTATCAAGCAAAGCTATCATATTATTTTAATATCAGATTTCCATAGTTATACCCGATTTTGTATTTTATGCATAACTAAAATTGTATTTGTTTTTTTTTTTCCATTTTAGGATGCACGATATATTATGATAGGATATGCTAATTGCGATGTATCAATACTTTTTCGTCAATTTAGACCAATTTTTTTTTTATAAAATTAGGTATACTTAAAAATTTGTAATATTATGTAATGATAATTATTTATTCATACAAAAAAATGAATATATCTGATTATTTTGACACATTGTTTATAAACTATCTTCTTTTTTTTCTCATTTACTAAAATCGTATAAGAGTTTAAAAGTTTTTAATAATAACACCTTCGATAAAATCACATAACTAGAATCTATAGATGGTAGAGTGTACATAGATCTTACCATTACCTTGTAATAAAAAGGTTGCTTCTAATCGATTGAAACGTTTGTTTAAAAGTTTGTTGAATTTTAATACTTCTTCCATCCCTATTTACTTGTTCATTTTTTATTTGAGACACTTGTTAAGAAAATAATAATTGACATAATAAATTTATCATCCTACCCCTATTAATTGATAGAATTCCAAAATCAATTTACTTACCTTTTTCAAAAACATCACCTCTCTAAATAAATTGAGGATATAATAGGTAAAATATTTTATCTTTTCTTGATTTGTCAAAAAAAAAAAGAACAGATAGAATATCAAATTAAATTTTGATTTAGACTAACCAAATTTACGATCATAATTTGAAGGGAAAAAAGACAAATATATCCTCAAACTATCGTAAATGGTATGCAGATACCCTCCGTCATATTTTTGGGACATTGATGCCCCTATCGTCAAAAAATTAAAGCATATATACCCTTTATATTAACGGACATACACGTGTCATAATCTTATTTACCGTTCTTATATTTATTAAAGATTGGATTGATAGATAAGATTGCGTCACGTATTCTTATTTAGTCTTCCGTTAGTGAATGACATATATGCTCTAGTTTTTTTAACGGCAGTGGCACAAATGTTCAAAAATATAATAGAGGATATCTGTATATCATTCACGATAATTCAAATATATTTGTCCTTTTTCCCTAAACGCACCGGATTACGCCAATGCACATCTTCAAAAACTTGTATGGTAGTCCACGTTAGTATAAGCTGTCAGCATCATACCTTCAATTTTGTTTTTTCCCAATCAAAGAAGTTGCACGAGATCCAACGGCCCACACTATGGGAATTTCATATAACTAAATTTGTAGTAATTTATTTGCAAATGGACAATTGATTCAGCTTCCTTTCTTCCCTCAATTCCGTTTGACCTTTTCCCCGGATAACAATTTTGTAAAAACGTAAAGGAGAAAAGGTCATATATGGTTTCTTGATCCAAAACTATCATCAAATTGTTGAATCTTTAGTTTATATTTGAAGGTAAATCTTAACACCCTTTTGTTTTTCTTCACTTCCCTAAGAACCCCTTTTGATTTGAATCTAAATTAGTCAGTTTTTGTGACGAATCATTGATGGGTTTTGGTCCTTTTCCTGTTTATGTTGGTTTTTGGTAAGCCTCAGTAAGAGTATTGGGGGAAAGATTGAGTATTTTTGGAATGTTTAGCTTTTGTATGATTTGGGTTTTGCTAATTTGGCTGTATTAATTGTAATGGTGCTAAAAGTTGATGCTTAGTGGAGCCAATGGTGTTAACGATTTGGTATAGCTGAATTGGTCAGTTTTGAAGATGGATTTTGGTCATTTTCTTGTTTCCGTTGTTTTTTGGTTAACCCTCAGTAAGAGTATTGGCAAAAAGATTTAAGCTTTTTGGATTGTTTAGCTTTTGTCTTGATTGGGTTTTGCTAATTTGGCTGTATTAATTGTAATGGTGCTAAAAGTTGATGCTTAGTAGAGCCAATGGTGTTAATGATTTGGCATAGCTGAATTGGTCAGTTTTCATGACGGATTTTGGTCATTTTATTGTTTCTGTTGGTTTTTGATAAGCCCCAGTAAGAGTAATGGTGAAAAGATTAAAGCTTTTTGGAACTTTTAGCTTTTGTCTTAATTGGTTTTTGCTATTTGGTAGTATTAATTGTAATGGTGCTAAAATTTGATTCCTAGTAGAGCTAATGGTGTTAATGTTTGAGGATATTATTGATGTTTTAGACTATTTGTAACAAAAAGTACATATAGGTTTCCTAGGTTGTAATACTTTTGCAAGGGGGACTACACTTTGATGTAGTATACTTGAGGATTTATTGACTAAAAAGTTACCTTTCTCAAAAAAAAAATGGTGATAATGATTTGGTATAGCTGAATTGCTCAGTTCTCATGGTGGGTTTTGGTCCTTTTCTTGTTTCTGTTAGTTTTTGATAAGCCCCAGTAAGAGTATTGGCAAAAAGATTTAAGCTTTTCAGAACATTTAGCGTTTGTCTTGATTGGGTTTTGCTAATTTGGCTGTATTAATTGTAATGGTGCTAAAAGTTAATTCTCCATAGAGCCAGTGTTGTTAATGATTTGGATTTGTTTGGAGGTAGATTGATTTGGGGAATTAGTGGAATCAGTTTGGAAGTAGATTGATTTGGGGTATAGTAGAGCCATTTTCATCCCTTTTACTCAGTTCAACTGTAGCTTCTTCGGTACTTGCAGAAAGAGTTTATAGTACATTTGAAACATCTAATATAGTGTTATTTCTTTTTGTTTCTTTATGATATTAAGGTGAACTTATGCTCATCAGAATATAAGGAACACCATCTTTGAACACAATTTTATTTCTATTTTCTTTGGTTTGTTTTTGGGTGTTCACTGCCGACATGATCCCATCATGCTCATACGAGTTGCTGAAGATGATTAAGTTGCAACTGAACATAGCTTTGTTCAGTGCAGTTGCAAAATAATCATCTTTTTTGATGAAGTAAAGGACATCATTAAGAGCATCACTGATGCTCTTTAATGAAATCCTTTACTTCATCAAAAAAGATAATTTAGTTTCAACTGCACTGAACAGAACTATGTCAGTAGGAAAAACTATGAATATGATCTATGTGGACACATAATCACTCTTTGAGTGTTATATATATATATGTGTGTGTGAGTAAAATGGTTAGTCTAAAACTGCACAATAGAAAAATTAAGTACATCGGGAATGAATGAAAATGATTTATGTGGACAGAAAGTCCTGTATTTGTCTCAGAAGAAAATTCACCAGGTAGTAATTAGTAAAACAGGAAATTCTAATAAGCCCAAACAAAAGTTCTATAGGTTGGTCTTTATTTTATTTATTTGCCGTAGGGTAAGTTCTGCGTACACTCTTCCCTTCCCGGATCCCACTTTGTGGGAGTACATTGGGTATGCTGTTGTTGTATTTTTTTTGAGAGTCTTCACTGAGCTTTGAGAGCTTAGCATCTGATTTGAGCTCATATTGTCAATCTGAAGCCCAATAAAGGATGAGCATTGTAATTTGACAGCTTGTCATCTGCATAAAACATAACATCAATTGATCAAGTATTTGCTTTGGCTTACTGCCTGAACGACCACCTCCTAAGCTTTCAATAGTCTTCAGGTCCGATTCATACCTCCTGCATTCATTCTCTTTATGATGCACACATTTCTAGAATGTTACCTTTCTCAAAAAATAAAATAAAATGATGCTCACACTTCCTAAGTAGAACCCCTAAATTGTCTTAAAAAACAAATCACTGGGCATTGGAATGGAACTGGTCCGAATGGAGTAGAATGCATATTAAATTTCATATAACCTACTCCAACTGGTTGAGATTAAGGTGTGGTGGTTGCTCTTCTATTCAGTACCAAATGTAGAAGCTTGTCTTAGTGCAATTATTAAGGATTGAAGAAAATGGACTGGCAGGAAGTTTTCTAGCTGTATCTGAGCAGTGAAACTTTTGAACACCTGTGATACTTATCCTATGAAAACTAGGACATATAGGAAATAATCAATGTCAATCACAGTGGACATGAACTCTGCAAAATGATTTGCCTTCCCTTGAAAGACATTTGAGGTCCTGATGGCATATTTCTTTTAAGTCAAGAGTTGATATGCTTAACTTTCTTTCCTGGTAAGGGGTGTTGTCTGAACAATTATTTGGTTTGGTTCGCTTTGTTCTTGTACATTCAGTGCACAAAAGTCAAGAATTAATATGCTTCATTGTAACAAGCAATAACATGAATACATGATGATTACTACATTTACTTATTCAGAGTATACACATCAGATTTTATTTGAGTTTTTTTCACTTATGACTGAGTATTTATCTCTATTTACTTTATGTTAGGCATGTGCTGCAAATGAGACGTTCTCAGCAATATTGGGGTTATTCAGAGAATTAGTTTAAAGCTCTAACAGCAAGCCTGGTTGACATCATTTTGGTGAAAGGTCAGATCTTTTTTTCTTTTTATACTAAGTTTGGAAGCTTTTGCATATGCTTGACATCCTAGTTTGTAAGTCTTCCAAAATGTGCTTGTTCTGCTCTTCATGAGCTTCATGCGGAGAAACCTATTCACACGCATGTGTATTTGCATGCAATGTTTTTTTGCGTGTCTACATTAGGCATAGAATACGTTGTAAAACAGCTCCTGAGGTGTATTACATATTTGCTTTTCTAGATGAGGAAGAATAATGGCTTACCTGTTATGCCATGTCCCAGTTGGACTTGTATTTCTACGCTCCTTCTGTTTCAACAGTCATTGTTGATGTGGGTTTTTGTCCTTTCAAATCAGGACTAGACCTGGCATCCTAAGTTCCGTCTGTCAATGTTTATTTTTTCTGGTTGCAGATTTTTATACTTTTAGTAGACTTCTGCTTTTTATAGCTAATAAATATCGACTTCTAATATTCCTTTAGATTATGAGTATCTTTTTATAACTTATACTTTTGGCCTGAATTATGTGCGAGTTTTGAGCAACCATCATGAAGCTTTATTTTTCTGTTGTTCTCTTCCTCCTTTGGGATTACACTGGGTGAGTTGTCTCTTCCACCTGTATGCTATGTTTAAATTACTTTTATTTGCAGCAACAAGCCTTATTTTACGCTCAAAAGCCTTGTTGTCCAACATTTGGTTCCTTGTCTCTACTTTTTGACGTCTATGGCAAGAGCTTGTGCCCCGTTATGTTTGTCTCTCTTCTTTCCATGTGTTCTTTACTTTTGGCTGCAGTGTAATATCTCTGAAGCACTTTGGTATTGATGTTGATCGTATGTTGCATGTTTATAAAAGTCTCAGATGTTATTTGTGAAGACGTTTGCAGCTTAGGTTTTCCTTGCATTCGTCACAACTTGTCTTTTACACCTCGGAATTAACAAGAAAAAATATTTGAAAATGAACTCCTTATGGAAAGCAGTTCCAAGTTAAACTTCAAATGACCTACTCCCTTGTCCCAAACTGAATATCTTCCTTTATCAGTAAAATCATCCTAAAACGATGTGCATCTTCTGAAAAAGAATTTTTCACCATTATCTTAAACCGGAAGACTGTTTGAGCCTGAGGCGTGTTTGTTGTTGATTTTAAACCAAAGAAATAATTATATGGAACCCACCTTTATTATTCCAAACAACCGTTCTCTTTTGTGTTCCTATCTATTATAACAAAATAGCCACCAACATACAATACTTGATTTCGAGTTGGGTCGTTATGAATTGTATATCAAATCGGACTGCGACATTTAATTTGGTCATAAAGCTTATTAGGTATCCTTTTTATAATGTGGATAATAATCAGAAGTGATGTTTATTTTTCATTTTCTTATATTTTTCCCTAAGATGCTATTTTGACTTCTCAGGTTAGAATGGCATCGTCTGCTGACTCATGGATGCGTGAATTTAATGAAGCATCCAAACTTGCGGATGAAGTCAGTTCTATGATTTCTGCAAAGAGCTCTTTGCCGTCTTCCGGACCTGAATCACAACGCCATTTATCTGCAGCTCGGCGAAAGATCACTATATTAAAGACAAGGCTTGATACTCTCCAGTCCCTTCTGCAAACGCTCCCAAGCAAGCAGCCTTTGTAAGATAACTGCATAAAGACTTCTATATGGGTTTTGATGATAGTATATAAGATTGTCTTTCAATTTAATATGATGTCTTTCTTAAGTACTTACGATTAAACCGAAAGATGGCAAATTAAGGTTTTCATGCTGCTTCAAATATTTACTTCAACATTTGTGATCCAAGGCAACATTTGGTGTGTGTTATTCAGTTGGCAAGAATGCTTTTGAATGTGTAAAAGATGGATGTAATCAATGTCTTGAAGCTTGTTACCACATAATGCAAGTTCTTTTCTGTGTATTGTCTAACAACTGTTGCAAGCTGTGATAGATTGAAATGATTCTTTACTTGTAAACAGATCAAAAAAGGAGATGAAACGTCGTCATGACATGCTTGATAATATGATTACGAAAGCTAATCAGTTGGCAACTACACTCAACATGAATAACCTTGCAAATAGGGATAGCTTGCTCGGCCCAGAAACTAAGCGACCTGATGTTATCAGTAGGGCAACTGGTCTTGACAACCAGGATCTTGTAGGTTTTCAACGACAAGTTATAAAAGGTATGTCCTCATACACTAGGAATCAACATGCTCTTTTCTTGTTTCTTTTGAAAAACTTAGTTGATGTGGTTGTCTGTTGATTTATATTTATAACAGAGCAGGACGAGGATCTTGATAAATTGGAGGAGACAGTGATAAGCACAAAACATGTTGCGTTAGCAATCAATGAGGAGCTCAACCTACATACTGCACTACTGGTGGGTGTTGTAACTGCAAAAAGTTTCAGTATTTGACCTTGAATACATCTTTATCACTTTAATTTTTATCGACCCGCCCAATGTTACCGTGTTTAGCAGTATAACGTTTATCTGATATGCAGGATAACTTAGATTACCATGTTGATACAACAAACTCCCGTCTTCAGGTATTGCTTGTTTTCAATATGCTTCAAATCGACTTTCTTTTGGCTGCGTTGTGTCTTAAGAAGTGAACTCTCTGATTTTGTCGCGCCCAAGCTAATGTGATTTTCATTGTCCTTATAAACAGAGGGTGCAAAGGAAATTGGCATTTTTGAATAAGCGCACAAAAGGTGGCTGTACTTGGTTGTGCCTATTGGTCATATTCATCGTTATTCTAGCCGTTGTCATCTTCCTATTGGTAAAGTTCTTGTGATCTGATTCTTCTATTGTTCATTGTTGGCTACAAGAGAAGCCAATATGTTGCATTCCTCTTGCAACTTCTTCAATCAGCTTCGAAAGTTCTAGCTATACAAGGACTACAGATTCGTCCTGCATTCGTTATGAAAGTATGTGTTATGTATATCTTGTGTTTTTCGCGTAACATTATAGAGCTTTTAATTTCAGAAGAAAGAAAACTTTGCCATGGATACCAATGGTGATTGTAAGAGACAAGTCTTGTGAACACTTCAAGTTTACAGTGCAATGCATTTTCAGGCTTATATTGTCTATTGTTATTATTGCAATTAGCAATTTTACTACAAAACTATTTCATTTGGCAATAATGCTTTTGAATGTGTAAGGATCCCAATCCACATGAATTGTACGAACATCTATGGAGTGTAGCAAGGAACCTTGGCTTCAACTCTCGTCACCTCATTTAATCCTATAGTAAGAAAATCCACAAGAATTGTACGAACGTCTATGGAGCGTAGAATGGAATCTTAGCTTTAACTCTTATCACTTTATTCAATCCTATAGCAAGAAACTTGTGTCGAAGTGTTGCAAACGAGCAAAGAAACATTTCTTGTAATCAACCAAAACCCCACTTATCACAAGGAGGGATGAATTCACTTCATTGGTATTTGATTTGTAGTCCATTTTGGGACCTATAGTCAATAGGAACATTGGATTTGGGTCTACAATAAGCAAACACGACTACACGAGTACAATTAGATCTCGCTATACTAGTCATTTCTCTACAACAACCTTCTACTGTTATGGCTAAGTATTTTCGAAATGACGTTTCATAATTAAAAGATTCAGAAGATGATTTACTAAACACATGAAATAAATATCAAACTCGTTCCTTTTGTTGATTGAATCTTAGTTCGGGTTTAGACTTGTCAAATCAAAATGAAGATAGAAACTTAAGTTGTGAATCAAAAGTTAAAAAATATTAATACATATCGTAAAATTTTATATATAATTATACCTATAACTATAAATTTTGAACAAGCACCTACATAATTAGTTCAATTGAGTTATTTTTTAAAATTTAAAATCAAAATTAATAATTAAATTCAAGTAAAAAAAATACTTATCATTTTCTTTTTCAACTTCCCCCTATTGGTTTTGGGCCGGATAGTCCATATCCTGAACCGACCCTCGAAACTTTTCATATTCAATAAATAAATAATCGCATTTAGCTTTTCCCCAAATTCCCTAAAACCTCACTTCACATCGCCGGCGACGAACACTTCAGGTATTCCTCTTTTCCGTTCTGTTAATTGAAATTGAAATTGAAATCCATAGATTCGGTTATATTGCTATTAGATTTGATATTGATTTGATACTTTGTTCAATTTTCCAGCTTGTTTGGTGGTATATATCTTCACTTAGGGTTAGGTTAGGGATTTTGAAGTTTCGAGTGTTGCGAGGGATAGTTGATTGAAGCATATTGTAAAAATGGATGATGAGATTCAGAAAACGCAAGAGGAGAGGAAGAAGATGGAGCAACAGCTCGCTTCTATGAATACGGTGACTTTTGATACTGAATTCTATAGTTCGAATAAATTTGAGGGTTATGAGAAATCTATTCCGGTGAATGATGATGATGATACTTTTGATACGGAGAATGAGGTTGCTAGAAAGATGGCGTCTTTCACTGCGCCGAAACAGTTTTTTAAGGAGGTTCCACGGGGTGCAGGGGAAGATGATGAGCCGAGTGGGTTTAATAAACCGAGTAAGATTATTGATAGGGAGGATGATTATAGGAGGAGGAGGTTGAATAGGGTCATTTCTCCTGAGAGGAATGATCCTTTTTTGGATAAGACTCCAGGGCCGGAAGTGAGGACGTATGCGGATGTTATGAGGGAGGAGGCTTTGAAGAGGCAGAAGGAAGAGTTGATGAAGGAGATTGCGAAGAAGAAGAAGGAAGAACAGGAAAAAGCAGCGGATAAGAAGGAGGAGGTTGAGAAGCCAGCTCAGAAGAGGAGGAATAGGTGGGACCAATCGCAGGATGAGGGTGGTGCGAAGAAGGCGAAAGCTGGTTCAGATTGGGACCAGCCGGACTCAACACCTGGGATTGGAAGGTGGGATGCAACCCCCACACCCGGCAGGGTCGGTGATGCAACACCCTCCGTCAAGAAGAATAGATGGGATGAGACACCTACACCTGGTAGGGTTGCTGATTCAGATGCTACCCCTGCTGGTGGTGCTACTCCAGGTGCAACTCCAGCTGGTATGTCTTGGGATGCTACACCAAAGCTTGCAGGTCTTGCTACCCCCACGCCTAAAAGACAGAGGTCAAGGTGGGACGAGACTCCAGCTACTATGGGAAGTGCAACTCCCATGTCAGGTGCTACCCCGGGAGCAGCTTATACACCGGGTGTTACTCCTGTTGGGGGTGTTGAACTAGCTACACCAACCCCTGGTGCCATTAATTTGCGTGGCCCGGTTACTCCTGAACAATACAATTTGATGAGGTGGGAGAAGGACATTGAAGAGAGAAATCGACCCTTAACTGATGAGGAGCTTGATTCAATGTTTCCTCAGGAGGGTTATAAGATTTTGGATCCTCCAGCATCCTATGTTCCCATTAGAACACCCGCCAGGAAGCTTCTTGCCACACCAACTCCTATAGGGACTCCTCTGTACTCTATTCCAGAGGAAAATCGGGGTCAACAGTTTGATGTACCAAAAGAAATGCCAGGTGGTTTGCCATTTATGAAGCCCGAGGATTACCAGTATTTTGGTTCCTTGTTGAATGAGGAAGATGAAGAGGAGTTGTCTCCCGATGAACAGAAGGAGCGAAAAATTATGAAGCTTTTGCTCAAGGTTAAAAATGGCACTCCCCCTCAGAGGAAAACTGCTTTGAGACAGCTCACTGATAAGGCCAGAGAATTTGGTGCCGGGCCCTTATTCAATCGGATTCTGCCATTGCTCATGCAACCTACACTGGAAGACCAAGAAAGGCATTTGCTGGTTAAGGTTATTGATAGGGTACTCTATAAGTTGGATGAATTGGTTCGCCCATATGTGCACAAGATTCTTGTCGTGATTGAACCTCTGTTGATTGATGAAGATTATTATGCTCGTGTCGAAGGGAGGGAAATCATATCTAATCTTAGTAAGGCAGCTGGTTTGGCAACTATGATTGCTGCCATGCGTCCAGATATTGACAACATTGATGAATATGTCAGGAACACAACTGCTCGAGCTTTCAGCGTTGTTGCATCTGCACTTGGTATTCCTGCTCTGCTACCATTCTTGAAAGCCGTTTGTCAGAGTAAAAAATCTTGGCAGGCTCGTCATACAGGTATTAAGATTGTTCAGCAGATTGCTATTCTTATTGGTTGTGCTGTTCTTCCACATTTGAGGTCTTTGGTGGAAATTATTGAACATGGTCTTAATGATGAGAACCAGAAAGTCAGGACCATTACAGCTCTTTCTCTGGCTGCTCTTGCTGAAGCTGCTGCACCATATGGTATTGAGAGTTTTGATTCTGTTTTGAAGCCCTTGTGGAAGGGTATTAGATCACATCGTGGCAAGGTTTTAGCTGCCTTTTTAAAGGCTATAGGTTTCATCATTCCTCTTATGGATGCTGTATACGCCAGCTACTATACCAAAGAAGTTATGGTTGTCCTTATTCGTGAGTTTCAATCACCTGACGAGGAGATGAAGAAAATTGTGCTGAAAGTGGTGAAGCAGTGTGTCAGTACAGAAGGTGTGGAGCCAGATTACATTCGACAAGACATTCTTCCAGAGTTCTTCAGAAACTTTTGGGTTAGAAGAATGGCTTTGGACCGCAGAAACTACAAGCAACTTGTTGAAACCACTGTGGAGATAGCAAACAAAGTTGGTGTTGCTGATATAGTTGGGAGAATTGTTGAAGACTTGAAAGATGAGAGTGAACCATACAGGAGAATGGTCATGGAAACTATTGAGAAGGTGGTTGCAAATCTTGGTGCATCTGATATTGATTCTCGACTAGAAGAGCTGTTAATTGATGGTATCCTTTATGCCTTCCAAGAGCAAACCAGTGACGATGCCAATGTGATGCTTAACGGATTTGGTGCTGTTGTAAATGCCCTTGGCCAAAGAGTTAAGCCATACCTTCCTCAGATTTGTGGTACTATAAAATGGCGACTGAACAACAAGAGTGCCAAGGTGAGACAGCAAGCTGCAGATCTGATATCCAGAATTGCAGTAGTTATGAAGCAGTGTGGGGAAGAACAACTAATGGGCCATCTTGGTGTTGTCTTGTACGAGTACTTGGGAGAAGAATACCCAGAGGTTTTAGGATCTATACTGGGGGCTCTCAAGGCTATTGTGAATGTTATTGGTATGACTAAAATGACTCCTCCAATTAAGGACTTGCTTCCTCGGCTGACCCCTATTTTGAAGAATCGTCACGAGAAAGTCCAGGAGAATTGTATTGACCTTGTTGGTCGAATTGCAGACCGTGGTGCTGAATTTGTTCCTGCAAGGGAGTGGATGAGAATTTGTTTTGAGCTTCTTGAGATGCTTAAAGCGCACAAGAAAGGTATCCGCCGAGCAACAGTGAACACATTTGGGTATATTGCTAAAGCCATTGGACCTCAGGATGTGCTTGCAACATTGTTAAACAATCTTAAGGTGCAGGAACGTCAGAACCGTGTCTGTACCACTGTCGCAATTGCTATTGTTGCAGAAACATGTTCTCCCTTTACAGTCTTGCCTGCCTTGATGAACGAATATCGCGTGCCTGAGCTTAATGTCCAGAATGGTGTCTTGAAATCCCTCTCCTTCCTTTTCGAGTACATTGGAGAAATGGGCAAGGATTATATATATGCTGTAACTCCATTACTCGAAGATGCTCTTATGGACAGAGATTTAGTACACAGGCAGACTGCTGCCTCTGCTGTGAAGCACATGGCTCTTGGTGTTGCTGGTCTTGGATGTGAAGATGCACTTGTCCACCTTTTGAACTATGTCTGGCCAAACATTTTCGAGACGTCTCCACATGTGATCAACGCAGTCATGGAAGCCATCGAAGGAATGAGGGTCGCACTGGGAGCAGCCGTAGTCCTTAACTATTGTCTACAGGGATTGTTCCATCCAGCAAGGAAGGTCAGAGAAGTTTACTGGAAGATATACAACTCCCTCTATATCGGCGCCCAGGATGCACTTGTAGCTTCTTATCCAATCCTGGAAGATGATGAAAACAATGTCTACAGTAGGCCTGAGCTGAACATGTTCATTTAGATATTTGCCTCTTATATCTGCTTTGCCATTTTTAGGCGTTTTCCTATTCCAGCACGATGAAGTAGCGTAGCGTCTCTTGTTTTCGACTAGACTTGTGATGTATCTTATATTCTAAATCGCACGATAGACATGTTTCCCCGTTTCCCCTTTTTTAACATATATTTGCTTAGCTTTCTTCTGAACAAGGAATAAGCGTTTGTATGAAGTGTTTTTGGGTTGTCTTGATTTTGGTTATGTTGGCTGATTTTGTCTTGCAAACTTTTCCTATACAATAGGACATATTGAGGATTACATAATTAGCCACCAAGATATGTGGCAAAATAGTGAAATTTCTCCTCTTTATTAGATATTTCGAATTTGAAATTAGAGAATATAAAAACTCTTGATAGTACTGTTTTTTACTCTTTCTTTTTTTTAAAGGAATCATACATATTAATCGAGTCAATAGATTTCAAACATCAAGGATTACGAAAAAAGGAATTATTTTTATATAATCTACCTAAAACAAAGTGGTAAAATACCATACCATTGCGATTTTTATTTCAATGGTGTTTCGCTTTGGAGACTAAACAATGTAAATAATACGTAACAGTAACCCAAGTAACGATAATAAGAAAGACTAGGGTATAGCTGTTTAAATCCCCGGATAAAAAATCTATGCACAATATAAGTATGAGTAGATTGTTTTTATATATAATCATGATATTTGTGTTAATTTACACACACATTAACTAAATTCACGAAATACTTTTATCTTCCACTAACAAAAATATTCAATTAACTTCATTCAAAAAACATATTTCTCCTATCTCCATTTTAAGTACTAAAATTTAAAAGAAGTGGTAAAATTATCAACTAAAGATCAACCCCTTACCCCATTTCAAATTATTTGTCATATTCTTTTTATATACATCTTTTTAAAAGATATTAATTAGGAATTGTTTTAACGAATTATAATTTGTAAGATCGACTTAAAAAATCACGATAAATAATTTGAGATGAGTGACTTAATTGGGTCATGGTGTAATAGATGGGTATTATAAATTTGTTTATCTTCTAGTTTTCACTCATATATATTGCTGTAAAATAGTCTTCTTATCCAGAAAAACAAACTCAAAACTGGAGAGATGGCTCTCCTTATCTTCACTACCACAACTCCCTCTGTTCTTCTCTCGTCTCACCCTTCCTCTACTTCACAAGCTTCTGCATTCCCTGCTTCGCTATGTAAGTATCATTGCTTAACATTCTTTGAATGATTACTCTCTGACTGTAATAATCTATGTGTTGTTTGAGATTTTGATTTGGGGGTAGTTCTTGAAAAGACTTTTTATAGGGATTTTGAGTTTTGGGTCACTTTGGTTAATCGGTATATGTTATTGAAATTCGGTTCTTTTTCAAGGGGTTTTTAATTTAAGGTGTTTGAGCTGGGTTTTGGGTTTTTTCAATTCTGAAAGTTTAGGTGTTTCCGGTTTGTGGTTTGGGATGGCTATCTTTTTTGCTGATTTGGGTGTCAAAAAGGGAAATGTGAGGCTTTTGTTAATATTTTTTTGTTGCTCGTCATATGTAAGCGTTGTTGCTTAATATTCTCGAATGGATGCTCTGTATGAGTGATTTCTGTGTTATTTGAGATATTGAGTTCGGGGTAATTCTTGAGACATTGTTAAGGGATTTGGAGTTCTGAGTTTTGCTTTGAATTAGTTTAATTCCGTTGTAGTAGACTGTGTGTTGTCCTTTGGTTACTTGGTATATGTTGTAGAAATTTCTGTTCTTTTTCAAGAGGGTTTGAATTTAGGTGTTCAAGCTGGAATTTTTTTGTTTCCCATTTGGGTGCTGGTAAGGAATATGTGAGACTTTTGTTATCATGTTTGCATTGCTCGCCCATGTAAGCATCATTGCTTAGTATTCTGAAGTGAATACTCTGCAAGTGTGATCTCTGTGTTATTTGAGATTTTGATTTCAGGGTAATTCTTGAGACCTTGTTAAGGGATTACGAGTTCTGGATTTTGCTTTGAATTAGTTTAATTCCATTGTAGTAGACTGTGTGTTGTCCTTTGGTTACTTGGTATGTGTCTTTTTCAGAGGGTTTGATTTTAGTTGTTCAATCTGGATTTTTTCCTTATCTTGGTTGCCGAAAGGAGCATGTTAGGCTTTTGTTATCATGTTTGCATTGCTCGCCCATGTAAGCATCATTGCTTAGTATTCTGAAGTGAATACTCTGCAAGTGTGATCTCTGTGTTATTTGAGATTTTGATTTCAGGGTAATTCTTGAGACCTTGTTAAGGGATTACGAGTTCTGGATTTTGCTTTGAATTAGTTTAATTCCATTGTAGTAGACTGTGTGTTGTCCTTTGGTTACTTGGTATGTGTCTTTTTTCAGAGGGTTTGAGTTTAGGTGTTCAAGCTGGATTTTTTCCTTATCTTGGTGCCGAAAGGAGCATGTTAGGCTTTTGTTATCATGTTTTCCTTATTGTTTAGAGAACTCTTGTTATGACTTAATTGAAATGAACCTGAATAGAGCAAATGGGTACAGAGGGTTCGTGCAGCTTAACTCAACTAAATTTGGGGTTGAGAGCAATTGATTGGGGAGGCGGCAAGGGAAGGGGGGGGAATCAGGACCTTCATTTTGCATTATGTTCGATTTAACTTGTCCTACACGATTTGAGGTTAATGTGTGCCTTGTATGTGATTCCGATTGAATAGGTCTCCCTTTTCTAGTGATGCACTGTTCTTTTAGGTATTCCATCAAAATAGAATATTCATTTCTGCACACATACTGCACTTGACTATTCCAAACTTAGGATATTCATTGATCTCTTGATTCGAGAAATCAAAATAAGAGGCTTGAACAATTTCTCCTGACTTCTTGTCAAATTTGATGAACATTGGTTAATTGTACATTTCATTATAGTTCTATGAAAGTTGACAAATAAGTCACCCTTACTGCCACTCAATAGAACCGTACATGCCTACATGAGATTTTCACATCATATGGCTCCCTGTTGAATGCTTTTTTTCTCCTCTTTTTGTTTGTTCTTCTGTAGACTTTAGAATTTTGAATTCTCCCTCTTTTTCTGCCAATTTCGAATAAATGATACGAATTGTATGCTTAATTGTCTTCTTGGTTGTTCATGTGACCACACTCTAAAAGGTTCTGAATGTTGTAATCTATTTTGTATTAGCCTCCAGGTTCTGCAACAATCACATTACCCTGACACCTAAGTCTTATGCCAATGGTAATATTCAAGCACCTTTTATCTTCAAAAGGAGAGGTGCATTGATTGCTACAGCCGCTGCAGACATTGATAGTGTCGGTTCTGATAATCCCGAGCCTTCACCAGAAAAAAATGAGGAAAGTGTGCCTGTTGAGAATCTCCCTCTGGAGTCTAAGCTTCAAGAGAAGCTTGAACAGAAGATGAAGATGAAGTTGGCAAAAAAAATTAGACTACGCAGGAAGAGACTCGTTAGGAAGCGCCACCTAAGGAAGAAAGGGCGATGGCCACCTTCAAAGATGAAGAAGAACAAGAATGTCTAGTAGGCTTAACCTGAAATGCCTTGCAAGTGTATCTGTTTTTTCTCGTAGGCTTTATAATATCAAAATACTGTAATCTTTGAGATCATTTTCTTCAACCTGTACCTGATACCTTAAGAGATAAATTAAATTTTCCCCCGATTTGTTTCTTGTTTTTTGATGGAATATGTTAGTTGTTGAACTACCTTTTATGTTGATTCACAAAGTTTCCACTTTACAATCATTCTTCATTTGCTGCCTTTAGCCTTCTGCTTTGTTTTGGAGGCTTTGTATGAACAACCGGAGGTTCTAGCGGAAAGATGGCTTCAGCCTGATGCTCTCCTCTCCCTTGTGTTCCTAAACTTACGATGTTTTAGCTCGTTGAAAAGTTCCAGGGATAAAATGTGTGCTCTCTCTTTTCTGGGGTTATCCTTCTCATTGTCACCACTAAACTAAAGGGACAAAAGAAGTTGAATTTTCATAGTCTGTGTAATGTGTCATTGAGTCTCCAACAGGCTTGGTGACTACAGATTGGGATATCCTGTTATGCACATCGGTCACTCTGGAGATTGGTACTAACTGTCCCAAGGACATTGGTCTAGTGATAAGAACACAGTGCACGATCGTAGACAAAAGCCTAGTATTTAAGCTGGGAAGGATAGAGGGGAAGATTTTGTCTTCTGGTTCTTGATGCATATTGCAATTTGCAGGATAAATCTCAACTCCAAGTCCAATTATTCAATTATGGGCTGACAGTAACAAATCTGTGGATCCTCAAGCTATATAAGCCAACAACTTTAGTCCAGGCCTATATGATATAATGCCCATATGTGAAAATAATTAAAGAAAAAGAGAGACCAAAGTGGAATCTGTCATAGTAGGAAATTTTGATAAATTGACTGATGAGGAGAATAAAAAGCAAAAAGGAGCAACTCCACTTACTACTTCAGTGCATTTTTGTCAAATCAAAGTCCACCAAATGTCTTTATCCAGTTTGTGGTTGACATTATTTGCTTGCAAGTGCCCACATCAATGGCAAGATTGAGTGTTGCTTATATCCTAACTATCACTATTTCACGTTTCATAACTATATTATCAAGTGTTCCTTTTATACCTGAACTATAACTTTCTTTTGATTAATAACTCGGTATTAAATATATAAAAAATGGTGATAGTTTAGGGGAGATTTTAACTTATCACTCAATTTTTTTCCCCTTTGAAACTTTCTGGGGATTTTTTCAAGCATGATGTTCACATAACTTGTCATAATATTCTTTTCTGTGAACACTCAACGATTTAGGTGTGAAACTCGCAAAACAATGATAGTCTAGAAGCTAACTAATCAGTGTCAAATTTTAACTTGTGTTTGTGCATAGAACTTACACTCTCTTAACAATACTAGGCTGTAAAAAGAAGCTAACTAATCAAATATACAAAGGCAACAAGGAGTAAAGGCAAGAAGACAGTGAGGGTGAGACAATCATTAAATATGGCTAATATTACATACATTTTGCCAAAAGACAAGCAGGCCATGAGAAAAAAATTACATTTCTCAGTATAGTCTCAACTCAACTCTCTGACAGACAAATAGTCAGACTAGAGTGTCACCCCTAAGAATATTGAATTTGCAGAGGGGACAGGTTGCATTGATCCTTAACCATTTGCTAATGCATCCATTGTGAAAATGATGATTGCAGGGAAGAACACACAGCTCTGCCCCATCTACATATTTGTAAAGGCAGATGCAGCATTCCTGTGTAGCCAAAACAATATCCACATGTAAAGTTAGCCTCTATGGTTAAAAGACGATATAAAGGAATATAGTTTTGATTTATGACGACAACTATCCTTGTGCAAGCTCCACTTATATTGCCAGTTAGAAGTTCAAATAAAGCAGGAGATTGTAGGTTAGACAACCATGATACAGAAACGACAGTTGATATCAGTAGCAAAATTTTTGGGGTTTTGTTTCGGAAGCATGATGAGAAATTGGTAAAGGAAGAATAACAGTCTGATGCATGGGATATGCAATCAAATACAGAATTTTTTTAGATGAATTCAGAACATAAAGAAACTCGCATGTTTACGTTTAGAGAAAACTACACACTATAGTGCCTTCGCCAAATATATCTGAGAAAATCCAGATTCCTTCATTCAATGATCTCGAACCAACTCATCGTAAAATTTCCATTTTCAGTTACTTCAAGAGATTCCCTTGATTATGATGGAACTTTTCTCTCCTCTCAATGTTTATGTTTCCAGTTTCCAAATTTTGACTCTTTCTCTGTTTCTAATAATAGTTTACACTGTACTTATAGCATACCCAATGTGATTCCACAAGTGGGGTGTATGCAGACCTTACCTCTACCTTGTGTGAGGTAGAGAGGTGGTTTCCGATAGACCCTTGACTCAAGAGCAGTGTTTTCAAATAGAAAACAAGAGTAAAAAGCTATAGTTAACATAGTAAAGATGACCCAAATAAAAGAAGACAGACGAGAGTGCACAAGAGATGAAAAATAACAAACTAAGAGGAAAAAAGATTGAAATGGAGGATAAAGTGGGAGTGCATGCTTACAGAATCATCTGGTTGAAGAGCAAGCTCAGGTACAGAGTCACTACTATCGAGCTGTGATATTGAGTGATCTTCTCCTGTCTTCATTTTTACAAGGTTCCCTGAAGTATTTAGTTGACCATATCTATACTTGGGAAGAGTCTTGATATCATTTTCAGATGCTCCATCTCCAAGTCTCATGGCATATGCAACTGTTGCGATAAATGGAAAGAAACAAAAGAATGCGAAGAAGACTACAAATCCCATTGCAATGCAAAAGATCATAAAGAACACGTCAAATGCTAGGAAAACAACTGATAACCTGCAAAATTTAAGAATAGTTTTATTTAAGCTATCAAACATACCACATACACACATTCATATGTTATAAAGAAAAGCAAATCAAACTAGTCTTGCACCATACATTGGATTAACAATCACCACTTAATTTCTTCAGCTACATATATCTACAGAATATATCTACATTTAGTTAAGCTCACACCTCGTATATTTTCCCAACAACAACATACCCAATGTAACCCCGCAGGTAGGGTGTGGGGACTGGGGTGGGTAGAGAGTATGCAGACCTTACCCCTACCTCATGGAGGCAGAGAGGTTGTTTCGTATATTTTCTCAATTATCCTTTTTTCTTTTTCATTTGCTTTGTGGGGATGGGAGAAAGGGGAAATCATGGCTCACAGTAGTTATTACGAAGTACAAAATCTTCAAATTCCAGAAGCATAGCTCATACCAGTAAAGACGAGGTGAATCTTGCAGAAGTTCCTGGCCACCCATAACAATCCAGTAAAAGCCAAATACCCACCAGATTGATGAAATCACAGTATTGACTGATTCCAACCTCTTCATGATGCTGCTAGAAAGATGACACAATGTAAAGTTAAATTCATAACCTTCATCATTTAAGAATGATAACATCATCACACTCAAATTAGTAAAATTCGATCAAAATATTATGCGCTTTAGTCTTAGAGTTCCAGGACTAAGACAAAGAATAATATCTGTATAACTGGACTGAAAGGAGCTGGGAAGTGATGTAGCATTGAAATTGAACCATAAGTGATTTTGAGAAGGAAAGAAAATTTCTCATTTCTTTCCCTTCCTTGAGCTTTAAGAACAACAAACTAATTGATTTCTTATTCTTTTTACTTCTATTGTTTCATTTTTGAGGTGACAGATGGAATGGTTGTTGGTGCAAACAACACAAGCTTGGGCATATTGATATGTCATGTGAACAACCGAGACCTGAATGTCAGTTCAGTATTAATCCTTGAAAGGTTGGTGCCAAAATGTTCATATTATGCGTAACACTCCACTAATTCGGTCCAGTACGACATATCAACTTTATGGAAACAATCAATTCCTAAGATGTTCAAGACCTGGCCAATTTAAACAAGTCTATCAAGGAGGTCGGTGTCTGCTACAACTCAAGCACAAGAAGATACAAAGACTAAATTTAATCAAGTTGCTAATATAAGGGCAATAGTGCAGTCACATGATTAGATCAACTTACTCAGAAGAAATATCAAAAGATCAGGGGAGTGCGGAGAGGGGAGGTGAGGCCTCCAATTTCACCATGCTATTTGACTAGTTGAGTGCTTGAGGTTTGTTTACATAACTGTATGTGAACACTATTTTAAGTAAGAACAATGATATCTTCTTAGCGAAGTTAAAGATAGAAGCCCCTTCCTGGTAACTGCATTTGTGTTGAGAGTTACTTATCGTTGATGAGATATATCAACAAATCAACTATGCCTCAATCCCAAACAAGTCTAAGTCGGCTATATGAATCCACTATATTAAATTGTGCTCTATTGAGATCCAACTCACTCCTACAAATAATTTGTTTTCAAAGGCAAATTAGGGATTCTAAAACTAGAGGATCTAAGTCCCACTTATCCACAAATGGACAAACAAGGCTATTAACTCTGGGAAATCTCCATCAAACTTGATCATTTGAGAAAAGGTCCCTAGATTTCCTTACGATTGAAAGTCAGCACCTCTTCTAAAGTTACTTTTGTGCATGTGTGTGATGAATCCTGACCTCTCCTAAATTAGCTAAAACTTATCGGAGCAGATGGGCATTGCTTTACTACAGAGATGAATCAGCAAGATGCCAAAATACTAAATGTAGTCACTCTCATTTGAAAGACTCTTAAGAAATAAGTATGAATTCTTAGGAAAACCAACTAAAGCCCAGAAAACCTCTCAATTCATGCTTATATAATCTACAGGCTTGTCTTCACCTCAAATATCCGGGCATTGCTCAGAAGAGATCCAACAAAGCCAGTACATAGGCTGCTATAGGAGCTTTACACTCCCAGTGACATGAACAGAATGGCTCAACCCCACGGCCCTCACTCTGTGAGTTGTCTCATGGCACCACAATACCTAGAAGCTAGACATGGTTTATCAAACAAATTAATTAATTTTAAAGAATTAACATACAGTACTAGAGGCTACACTTATTTCAAGAGGACATTCATATGAAGGGAAGCACAGTGGAATTTCTGGCTTTGATACAATTACTCCTAGATTAGACGTCACCCGAGATATATATGTAATATGTACCACCAAAAAGATGGAATCTTTTTTTTTGATTGTTCACAAAA